TCCGATTAGTTTGTCTGACATTAATATAATCCCCCCCCCTTTTTTTTTTTTTTTTTTTTTGGCAGCTGGCTTGTATGAGGATCCAAATCCTTGAAGTTGGTGTTATAACATCAGCTTTCTTTTGGTTAGTATTTGTGTGGTCTATTTCTTCCGTTTTTACTTGTAACCTTTTGGTGTCTTAGTATTTAACATATTTTTCTGGCAAATGGCATATAGTTGGGTTTTTTCCCCCTTTTGATCTGATAATCTCTGCCTTTTAATTGCATTTAATAAAATTATTTTGATGTGGTTGGGTTTATTTTGTTTTGTATTTATCCCATTTGACCTTTTCCCTTTTTCCCTCCTTTTTTGGATTATTTGCGTCTTTCTTAGCATTCCATTTTATATCCACAATTGGGTTCTTATCTGTGCCTCTTTTAAGTGGTTTTCTAAAGGGTTACTTTAAGAATTATAATCTATGTCTTTAAATTGCCACAGTCTACAAGTCTTCATATTCTATCACAGTCTTCAAGAACTAACATTATACCATTTTATATAATGTAAGAAACACACCATTATGCTTCCACTTACTCCCCACCATCCTTTTTACTATTGTTGTTATATATTTCACTTCTACATATATATTATACCTCGTAAAACACATTGTTGTTTTGTTGGGTTTTCTCCCCCCTCACGGTACAAAAGTATTTAATAAGCAACACATAAGTACAGAAAAACACCTAGCTTATAGCTCATCTTTAAAACCAGAATAACCAAGTGAAAAGTGTGTACAGATTCTTATCTTTACTTAAAAACAAAAACAAAAACAAAGGTGCACATTGGGAATTGAACTACTATGTTTTTCTTCTTTCTAGAGATGTGACATACACGTAAAACTCATGGTTTTAAACAGTCAACTGACTTTTACAAAATTAGAAATAGTCTTTTCTATTTCACTGCACATTTACCATTTCCAGCATTCTTCAATCCTTCCTATAAATCAGGGTTTCATCTGGTCTCACTTCCCTTCAGCCTGAGGCTCCTCCTTGGGTAGTTCTTGTAGTGTGGGTCTTCTAACTATAAATCTCCTAGCTTTTGCTTACCTGAAAATATGTTTATCTAGTCTTCATTTTTGAAGCATATTTACACTAGATATAGGTTCTAGGTTGACAGCCTTTCAGCCCTTTAGCTGTGTCCCTCATCTGTCTTCTGACTTGCTTTTTTTTTTTTTCTGTTAGCTGAAATTCTTATTACTTTCCCCCTGTATGTAATGTATCTTTTTTCTCAATCTTATTTTAATATTTTCTCTTTTTTTTTCTCTATCTGCTCTGCTTTTATTTTATTTTTATTTATTTATTTTTGATGGCTGGCCAGTACCAAGATCCTCCGAACCCTGGACCTTCGTGTTATGAGCACTGAGCTCTGACAACCTGAGCTCCCCCGCCAGTGCCTCTGTCTGCTTTTAATATTTTCTCTTTATCTTTGGTTTTCAGCTGCTGGCTGTGCTACACCTGGATGTGGTTTTCTTTGTGTTTGTCTTGCTTGGAGTGTTTTGAGCTTCTGGAAAAGTTTGAAGTTCTTTTTTCTTCAAATTTTTCCTGCCCTTTTCTTTCCTTCCTCTCCTACTCTAACCCGAATTCATGTATGTTGCCCAGCTCAGTAAAATCTCAAGGGTAATTGATGCTGTTGATTTTTTCAGTTTTTTTTTTTTTTAATCTCTCTGCTTCAGTTTGGAGAATTTCTATTTCTCTGTCTTCAAGTTTACTTATTCTATCTTCTATAGTGTCTAATTTGGTGTTTAGCCCATCATTGTAGTTTTTATTTCAGCTATTATATTTTTCAGATCTAGAATTCCCATTTGGTTCATTTTTAACTTTTCGATCCATATCCTGAAATATCCCATTATTCCATGTGTTATTTTCCTAGGGTGCTGTAAAAAAGTATCATAAACTGGGTGGCTTAAGAAAGAGAAATTTATTGCCTCACATTTCTGGAGGCTGGAAGTCTGAAATCCAGGTGTCAGCAGGGTTGCTTCCTTCTGGGGGTTCTGAGGGAGAATCTGTTCCGTGCCTCTTTCCTAGCTTCTGGTGGTTGCCAGCAACTCTTGGCATTCTTTAGCTTGTAGACATATCACACCAATCTCTGCTTCTATTTTCACATGACATTTTCCCCTGTGTCTCTCTGTGTCCAAATTTACCTCTTCTTATAAGGACAGCAGCCACTGAATTTGGAACCACCCTAA